GAACAAACTTACATGTGAGGTTTGTTAATGCGAAAGGAATTCGCAGAGAAATTGAAGAAGCATTGGGGTTGAAATCTATAAATTAAAATTAGGGTTTAATCAAAGTCTCAAGAGGGAGTGTTGGAATTGTGAGCCTTTGATTAAACCTACAAAGAGAAAAGCTTAAGTGAGAAGAAGATGAAGAAAAGAAAAGATGCACGAAGAAGAAGAAGAAGAAGAAGATGGTGTTGGAGAAAATGTCTGGGGAGTCCCCTTTTGGCAAAACAAAACCTCATATCTCCCCCTTATAAACAGAAATTATTATTGATTTAATTTTAATTCGAAAAGTGTTGGTTTTACCAGTATACCCCAACCGAAATCCAATATTTACAGTGAAAACCCGGATCTATTCGAACCCAGACCCGACCCATCTCTCCCAACCGGATACCCTAATTCCTTTATTCTCTGTTTGAAACGGAACGCGAAAATCTTCTCAATTTTCTCTCTCAAAATCAAAATCAAAATCTCTCCCTAGAATTTCTCCACTCTTCCTCTTATTCTCCTTCTTCTAAAGCAACTTCAGATTTTCTTGGGAGATATCGATTTCGAAAGCAACTTCAGATTTCTCATTTTCGAGTCCTTTGTTTCGTTTTCTCGTTTCCGACAATGCCTCCAAAGAAAATTGGGTTAAAGAGGAAGAGAGGAGTACCAACGACGGAGCAGCAGCCATCCTCGACCTTAATTCCGGTTTTAGAGCCAGCGGAAGAAGAGAATGAGGAAGAAGAGAGTGAAAAAGAAGAGAATGAGGAAGAAGAAGAGTATACCAGTATTATTTATTGGTATAACTGGTAGAACAGTATACCAATATTATTTATTGGTATAACTGGTAGAACTGGGAATACTATTTGTTTGAATTCTGGGTATAACTGGTAATACTAGGGCATTACTATATGTTTGATTTCTGGGTAATACTGGTATTACTAGGGTATAACTATGTGTTTGAATTCTGGGTAAAACTGGTATTACTAGGGTAGAACTATGTGTATAGTTTCAGGGTAATACTGGTAATACTGGTAATACTATTCGCAGAATAATGATATATGAATGAATGTCTATTCTGTTGCAGGAGATCGACGAGGAAACAGAAGCAATACCACCGCTGAGTATGTATTTCCCGCCTTCGGAATATGTGAAGAAAATCAAGCTATCAACTCGGTGCTATATTCACGAAGTGTTGACTACATTCGATACGTTGGAGCCTCTGATGAGCAAGTCTGAGAGGGCATATTTTGAGAATCATCCGAGTTTCCAACACGTCTTACACATGCCAAGAAATCCAAACCACCGAGTTATGGGAATGTGGATGCTCCTTCTTCACACGGCGCGCATTGAAAGGAAGAAAGAAGTGTGGTTCATCGTCAATGGTGTTCCAATCCGATATGGTATATCGGAACATGCATTGATATCGGGCTTCAATTGCAAGAACTATGCAGTTGGGTATAAAAATGTGGGAAGAACCAACTCGGAAACTATTACTACAAATGTAGCAGAACTAGTAAAACCAGTATTACTGACAGAGTTTTTGTATTGTTTTGACAGGATAAAATGAGGGAGAACGTGATCATATATTTCAAATGCCAATGTCGCATGTATAGCTTGATGATGAAGACATCATGGGAAAAGATAACTCTCTCCATGTTAGAAGCTTACCCAAAATTGGTCTTCTACTTCTTATCTAGCATTGTTATTGGGCACACAAAGATTGGAGAAGATGCTACGTCCATGGAGTCATATTTTCTGAGAGCGTTGTATGATATGAACTATTTTGGGCTATAATGTTTCTAATCTGTGTTCATTGTTTACATCCCACATGAAATTGATAGTATCATGGTAGTTGGAGGTGAAGAAGAATATACCTTCTTTACTATATCTTTGTCTTATAGTTGTTGTTTAGATTTGTACAATTGGTAATACTAGGTAAAACTATGTTGGTTTTGTTTTTTTTATTTATACTACTGGTACTACTAGGTAAAACTATGTGCACCGTCAAATTTACACATGTGTGAGTCAAATTTACACATGTGCGCCGTCAAATTTGGGAGAAAACAAAAAAAAATGGAAAATTTTCAATTTTGGGACACGTGGGGCCCGTCTTATTCACGTGTGCGCCGTCATTTGTACACGTGGCGCCGTCATTTGTACACATGGCGCCGTCAAATATACACAGTTTTTCCAAGTTTAAAAGTTGTACTCGCTTACACACAGTTGAACTTTTGGGGTTTTTCTGTATAATTAGTTATTCTTGGATTAATATTAATTTTTATTAGTTGTACACATAATTTTATGTATATGTGGTAAATTCCAAACATATTCATTCAATAATATTTGTAAAATGTTGATTTTTCAGACTTTCGACATTCACCATGGATATTCAAAAGAAAGACATCTTAAAAGTATAAGAACTTTCATGTAGAAAGTTCAAATGTGTAAGATTTTTGAAAATTTTATTTACCAAATTGTGATTACAAACCACTAATTTGATTATGTAACACTAAGTTGTCTATTTCATTACAAGAAGCATTATGATATAATTTTGAATTTATGAAGATTTACCAAATTTTGTAATGTTTCTAATCTTTGTTCATTGTTTACATCCCACATGAAATTGATAGTATCATGGTAGCTGGAGGTGAAGAAGAATATACCTTCTTCACTATATCTTTGTCTTATAGTTGTTGTTTAGATTTGTACAATTGGTAATACTAGGTAAAACTATGTGCACCGTCAAATTTACACATGTGCAAGTCAAATTTACACATGTGCACCGTCAAATTTGGGGGAAAACCCAAAAAAATGGGAGAATTTCAATTTTGGAGCACGTGGGCCCCATCTTATCCACGTGTGCACCGTTTTTTTCCATCGAATTTTCCGGCGAGGAGAGCTCGAGCTCGAGCTGAGAGGAGCGTTCTCACGTTTTTTTTTTTTTCCTGTTTTTGATTTTTTTTTTCCATTTCAGAAAATAATTAATTAAAATGAATAAAAGAGAAAGGGCAAAATCGTCAAGTCACATTTCATTAATTGAGAAGGGGATATGTAGACAAAAAAGGGATATAAGAGGTTAGAGTTATACAAAAGGGGACTCATGAGACATTTTCTCGATGGTGTCGTGAGAGGAGTCAACGACAAGGAGAAGTCAACAAAAGAAGGAAGTTGGGCTTTGTGTTTTATGGGCCATCGGATTGCTTAAGACCCAATAAGGAAGAAGAAAAATGGTGTGTCGTTAATCTATGTTTAGCTAGGTCTTGAGTAGAGTTGCAAGTTGTTGTTAAAGTTGTGTCAAGTGTGCAAGTATGTTTAGAGTCCCAATATGTAGTAGAGTGGCTTGTGTAAGAAGAGTCTAGAGTCTAGAGTTAATCATGTGTTTATGAACATGCTTGTGTGTGTAAGTGTGTAATAGAAGTAGTATAAGTAAGTGTGTTTGTGTCTTGTAAAATATCTAAGAAAATTATCAATGTAGACATTAAATTCTTAAACGTGTTCTTGTATTTTATGTTTAAACATGAACTAAAACAAAGAGTTATGAGAGAAACAGAGTTATGAGAGATTGTGAGATTTGAGAAAGGGAGTGATTTCAACAAGGCCTAAGTATCGTACTGGGAGACTACCAACCTCAAAGTGAAACTGGTCTTGAATATCTAGGTGAGATGTATTTAGTTGTCCTGCCATGTAGATGGTTGACTTCTCCATACTAATTCTCAAACCAGATTTTTTGGCAAACTCATCAAAAACCTGTACTATCCCTTCTATGGATCTTACTTTACCATCTGAAAGTACCATGATATCATCCGCGAAGCTAAGATGTGTTAGACCAAGATGCTTACATTTTGGATGGAAACCGAACTGTCTAGCCGCAGCAGCTTTATCCAACATTCGAGAAAGAACATCCATGCTTATGACAAAAAGATAAGGGGAGAGTGAACAACCTTGTCGCAAACCTCTAGAACTCTGAAAATAGCCTGCTAGTTCCCCATTTACTTGAACCGAAAATGAGGCTGAAGTGATACAAAGCATAATCCAGTGCACAAACTCTTGAGGGAAATTCATTGCAGAAAGAACATTTTTTAGAAAAGACCATTGAACAGAATCAAAAGCTTTTGAGATGTCTATTTTTATGGCACAACGACCCGAAATTGAGTCGAAACCACAAATACTAGTAGATACATGAACTGATTTTAAAAGATGATACCATAGCATTAGTACTAGTAGAAACCACAAATGTACAAATCTACACGTCTTTGTCAATTTAGAATTGTAGATACAACAAATGTCGATTCAAAATCAGTCAAACTCGGTTCTTTTAAGTATTTTTTCTCTCTTGACGCTAGTCCGTTACAGTTCATAAAGACTTAGCTTTAGGCCACAAATTAAGTAGTACTGTACATAAAATATATGTTTTTTTTTCTTATTCCCGTTAATCTCATGCTTTATTATCCCTTTTTTCTCCTCTTTTCATCGAAGTTATTTTTTATTATGTTATGAGTTTTTTTCAAATATACATTTTTAATTGAATTTTCAGCTAAAAACTAAACATATGAAATACATAAGCTTGTTAATTAGGATTTTTATATACTAACTAATATTATTACCTAGGCAGATTCAGTATATATAATGTCCTCCAAGTCAAATCTTAACATGTGGAGTAATCGCAATTTCTCGCTTGGCAGGGAAAAAACTATATAATTTACTACTTATAAATAACAAAATTCGCCTTTTCGAATATAGCTTCCACACTTCTAGTCCACATAAAGGTGGTTCCTCTAGTAACATGTTTTTGATTATAGACTCAAAAGGAAAGTGGGATCGTGAGATGTTTTCTATGACAGATTCCAAAAGTTTAGGTATGACCAGCATGCAATGAAATCCATTTATTATTCTTCGAATATTACTTTTATTATGTAACAATTATGTTTTGAGGCCTCTCACGATCTTTCTATATATAATATGGATGTATTCCCATATCTTTACTCCTTTACACACACATACAATATGGATAATTTGGAGTTATGTGAAGCAAACAACGTTCCTCTAACGCCCATAACGTTCTTGAAGAGAGCTTCCGAGTGTTATCCGAATCGAACTTCGATAATCTACGAACAAACTCGTTTCACTTGGCCTCAGACCTATGATCGTTGCTGTCGTCTCGCTGCTTTTCTACTCTCTCTTAACATCACCCGCAACGACGTCGTAAGAACCTCATGACTTTTCTTTTTTCTTGTTTTATGTTTAGTGATGCCTATCATATTGCTTGTACCATCTATATATACATTTCTTTTGGATGGTATTATGGTAATCTTAACCAAACTGAATCATTCATTTTATATCTAACGTGTGTATTAAATCTGTGTTTAGGTTTCGATTTTGGCTCCAAACGTACCGGCCATGTATGAGATGCATTTTGCCGTTCCCATGACCGGAGCCGTACTTAATCCTATTAACACGCGTCTTGACGCCAAAACCATAGCTGTCATCCTCCGCCACGCCCAGCCAAAGTGTTTATTCGTGGACTACACGTTTGCTCCTTTGATCCAAGAAGTCCTTCGTCTCTTACCCTTTGACAGTTCAAAACTTCACCCGCTTATCATATCCATCAACGAGATTGATTCCAATACAAAGCCTTCCTCCATGGAGTTAGACTACGAAGGTCTCATCCGTAAAGGAGATCCTATGCTGTCCTCGTCCGCAAGTTTGTTCCGTGTCCGCAACGAGCATGACCCTATTTCTTTGAACTACACTTCTGGCACCACATCCGAACCAAAAGGTGTGGTGATTAGCCACCGCGGAGCCTACTTGACAGCTTTGAGCTCGATTATTGGCTGGGAAATGGGGATATGCCCCGTCTACCTTTGGACCCTTCCAATGTTTCATGCCAATGGGTGGACACACACATGGTCAGTGGCTGCACGTGGTGGCACCAATGTATGCATCAGAAATGTGACGGCCATTGAGATCTATAAGAACATAGAATTGCATGGTGTGACCCACATGTCTTGTGTTCCTACGGTCTTTAGAATTCTCCTCGAAGGACGTCGAACAGAAAAGTTACAAAGGTCCACGCCTGTTCAAGTACTAACTGGTGGTTCATCCCCGCCAATTGCGCTTGTTGAGAAGGTTGAGGCGTTGGGGTTTCAGGTGATGCACGCTTATGGACTTACTGAGGCTTCGGGTGCAGCACTCTATTGTGAGTGGCAGGACGAGTGGAACATGTAATAAACACCATTATGAGTTTACATAATTTACTACAATCTTATTTATACAACGATTAATCTAAAAATCCTCTACAGGCTACCAAAGCAACAACAGATGAAGCTGAAAGCAAGGCAAGGGGTAAGGAACATAACCCTAGATGAAGTTGACGTGAAGAATACGAAAACTCAGGAGAGTGTCCCACGCGACGGGACGACAATGGGAGAAATTGTCATCAAAGGAAATATTGTAATGAAAGGGTATCTAAAGAACCCTAAAGCAACATCTGAAGTGTTTAAACATGGATGGCTTAACACTGGAGACATAGGTGTGATTCACCCTGATGGGCACGTAGAGATCAAAGACCGATCCAAAGACATTATCATCTCGGGAGGTGAGAACATAAGTAGTATTGAGGTCGAGAGAGTTCTTTACAAGCACCAGAAAGTGCTGGAGGCCGCGGTTGTGGCCATGCCTCACCCTTTGTGGGGTGAAACCCCGTGTGCCTTTGTTGTACTAAACCACGGTGAAACTAATCAAGAAGATCGTGAAAAGGAATTTGTGACGAAAGAAGAAGATTTGATTAAGTATTGCCGTGAGAATATGCCGCATTTTATGTGTCCAAGGAAGGTGGTGTTCTTGGAAGAACTGCCAAAGAATGGAAACGGAAAGATACTTAAGCCAAATCTGAGAGATATCGCTAAAGGTTTGGTTGACGATGAGGACGAGACCCGTTCCAAAGAAGTTCAAGGACGCAGTGTTAATCACGTTAGTTCCAGGCTTTAAGGTTACGTATATATGATTATGCATCAATGTGGTTGAATTGGTATTTTTCTAAGTTTGTGTGGTATTAATCATTAAATCTACTCTAAATAAAAGGAAGTATGTATAACTCTTTATAACATGATATTATATTACATCCAATAACATTTTGAAATAGTGAGAAGAAGAAGATATGCAGATACAAACATGTAAAGACAAATCATGGAAAGTTTTTCATTTTTGTTTTTTAAATCTACATTACTGAGTTCAATCAGTACATGCTCAAACACATGGATTTAACAAAAAAAAAAAATGCAATTTGACATGAAGACTCTTTGGGATTGAGATGAACATTTACATCAAAGTATGCAAATTCAGCTGACGGTATTCAGGAAAAAAAAAAGCATCACATAAAATGTTTTTTACCACGGTTTCTGACATTAACTTACTCAAAAAAATCAAAATATCAATTCATAAAAAAATAAAGAAAAAAAACCACCAGTTTATTTATTTATTTTATTTCCAGTTCAATACGATAAAAAGCACAAAAAGGTCAACAATATTCATGAAAATGTATAACTCTAATATTTATGTCGTTTCAATAGGTTACATTTTTGGTTTTCAATTATATATTAATTTTTTTTGGGGTTAATTGTCTGATTTTGAAGATGAATGTATATATAAAAAGAAAAAAAAAAAAAACTGAAATCTAACGATTTGAACTAAAAAGTTGTGTTAGTTTTCAAAAAATTAGAGGATGATAGATACTATTAGAAAGAGACTTTGGAGCCGACCATTCTCCATATAATTATGGGAGTATAATCAAAACACGTTATTTTATAGAAGTAAATTTGATATAATTATTTAGAATGTATGAACTAGGCCAATTATTTAATTTGGTCTGGATGATCGGGCCAGCCTTGCACAATTACCCATCTTTGTTTTCTATTCACAAGTAGACAAAAGCGGGATAGTGAAATAGACGTCCAAACGCGTTTTTGTAGAAAAACGCAAAGTCATCGAACCAAAAGTTGACTTAATTTGTTTTCTTTTTCTCCAATAATTTTTTTTTTTAAAAGACAAAGACTAGCTCCAATATAAATACCTCACTAAACTGGTCAACATGTGAGAAATGAGCAATGATAATGAAGAAAAAAACTCAAGCTTATCTTCTTCTAAGTTTAGTTCATATACTTCTATGTCTATCCTTTCAGATTCGTGCCATTGAGGCTATACGCCCTCTCCTAGGTCAGTACGTTCTTACTCCCAATTTTTATGTCATATGATAACTAAGACTATGTCTGGTTTTTAGAATAGATTTTTAAACCCAACAATATTATTACCTCTATTCACAATTTACTTGAACTATTTTTTTTTTTTTTTGGAGTTTGCAGCTGATCCACCAAGTCAAATTCTAAATCCACCACCACCCTCGCCCGTATGGCCCTCTCCACCATGTGGATCTAATATCGGGAGTCAAGTTACTGCAATAGGAGAGAAGTCTTGTAGACAAATTCCAAGGCCTCCTAAAACCAAAAAGAAGAAAACTCCAAAGCCTCTTAAAACCAAAAAGAACAAAATTTCAAGGCCTCCTGCAGCAATTCCGTGATCTCCAAACAAGGGTTTGCAGCAAAGACGTTAACAGATACAACTATGATCCATTTTGGAGTACACTTATCCTTTGAAAATTCATGAAGCATTTTAGTGGATTGTACAATATTTTGTGTTCGCCTCGTTCTTCAATAAATATATTATCTTAATTTTACTATCATTTTTATGTTGATTTAATGCTCAAAACTGATGAAACTGGACCATCTCATCTTTGACACTAGGTTGTTTAGCTGCGATATTCGCGGCTTATTGCATAATTCTTATGTTTTGTGTAAACAATAAAAAAAATTTTAGAACAGATAAAAATAAGACAAAATTACATATTATTTAATATTTTCAATAAAAACATTGGTATCACATATATTTTACATTTTTAACAACAATCGTAAACGATAACTTTTATCTTTTTCTCTCTTTTTCATATTTCATACAATTTAAGTTATAGTAATAGGTTTTTATATTTTTTTCTACTAATTCGGATTACCGACTATATAACTTTTTTTGGTAAATTTGTTTTCCTGGAAAAATAATAATTTTAACTACAACCTTTAAAATATATATATATATATATATATATACTGATATTTATAAAATTATATGCTAGATCACAAAACTAAAAATAATTACTATGATTATATTAAAACAAACATAAGAAAAAGAGGTTTCTTCATACACAATTTATTTCATTAAAAGGTCACATAATTTTAGAAAATATATACATGAATATGTAAAGACATAATCATAACTCATAGTAGAGAATAAGAATGCTATCATTTCAAAGATAACTTTAAAATAATTTCCATAATTTTGTTTCAATATAAGTATAATTAGAAAAAATTTAAAATGTTCTTACGATTTAATATCTTGCATTTGGTCATATTTTAATAAATACATGTTATATATTACAAAATTAATTGTTGATAACTCACAGATAATTTGTTTGTTTGTTGATATAAACTCTCACATAATAGTTCAAATTCATATTATTTTGTAAGAGACAAGCTAAATTTATTTTCATATAAAATTATATGAACTTCAATCTACACATGGATAGAAGTATATTTTTCAATGTATTTTTTTTTGTAATTCCACTCATCAATTAAAATTCTAGTGCTAGATTTCATACTAATGGTTTCATATTTATAGGATTTAATAAAATGTTTTTTTTTTCAATTATATATATATATATATATATATATATATATATATATATATATTCATATTTCACTCCATTTTAAGTATGAGTGTTAGGTTTCATTTTGTACAACAATGTTCCTTAAGTTTTAATGGAATCTTCTTATGACAAAAAAAGGTTTCATTCTAATGATTTTATTCTAATATTCTACTAACTAAATATAATTTTCATGATACATATGATTTCATATATTTTTTTAATCTTAAGGACAAATTTGTTTAATAAAGTGTTTTTTTTTTGTTTTTGAAAAACACTCAAGACTCAAATTTTAAATAAAATAAACATTATAATAATCTTAATATAATTATCCATTGCATCACAAAAACTACATATAGTTATACATACATTAAAAATGAATTACAAAAATTTATACGAGATAAAAAAAAGGTAAAAAATGAATACTTGATAAATGTATTAGAATAATTTATTTAATTATATATTGCATAACTAAAAATAATATATGAATATGTTAGAAAATAATCAAATATCTAAAATAAATAACAGAGATGGATCTTTTCAACTTCATTCCATTGTCGTGCGATAATTAGAATTGATATTTTTAACTTTTCATCACTAATAAACCTGAAATTTTTGCTGTACCCATGAAATTGTTTATTTTACATATGTTAATTCAAAATTAAAAATATGGAAATTGAAGAAGAAATATGTATAATCTAGTATGGTGTTAAATAAAAAAGAATCAAATTCTTACAATCATGTTTTCATTGATTTCAACCTATATAACAAAAAAAATAGATACATGAATATAGTAGAAGAGGATGGGAGAATGATTAATTATAACTTATAAGATGATAATTTAAAATAGACAATGAAGATGAATCTTTAAAAAAATTAAAAAAACTAATGTAAATATTAAAATTTAGAATTAAGCTTTTATAATGATATTTAATTTGAGTTTTTTAACTCATACAACAACAACCACAACCAAAATCAAAACACACAAACAATCTATACTATATAAAAGTCGAGGCTATAAGCTCCTTAGGCCGTCCACCTAGGATTTTAAACAACCAGTCGTAAATAGCCACTTCGTTGGTTAACATTTTTATAGACCACGTTAATTAACATTTTTTAAAATTTTCTATATTAAAATATTATTAACAAAAAGAAAAAAGATAGGCCGTCCACCTAGGATTTTAAACAACCAATCGTAAATAGCTACTTCGTTGGTTAACATTTTTATAGACCACGTTAATTAACATTTTAAAAAACTTTCTATATTAAAATATTGTTAACAAAAAGAAAAAAGAAAATAAAATATATGGAAATAAAATAAATATAACCTTAAAAAATATGGAATGGTAATCTTAAGCTCAATCCCATAAAATATATATTTTTAAATCTATACTATATAAAAGTCGAGGCTATAAGTTTCTGAGGCTGTCCACGTGGGATTTTAACATTCTTACAATCTATTGTTAGATATTTATTAAACTTGCTCTAAACGAAGGTTATAATGATAATTACTTTAAATTTATTATTATTTGAGTTTATTTCACCATAAATATAAATAGTTGTTAATATCTAATATCGTATGTTAGAAATTTTGAAATAAAATTTTGTTTTATATTCTAAAATTTGTGAAAATATTATAACAAAACTGAATCTTAAAATATTTGTATTTAATTTTCTTACGAAATTTTAAATTTAATCTTAAAGTCCTCCATTGATAAATCTTTTAAACGATAGTGTTTTTAATTTTGAATTAAAATGATATTATTTTTTTTTTATTTTTGATATAGAATAGTCTATTATGATTGGTTTAGATAAAATCTTAGTTGGATATCAAATCTTTGTTTCTCAATTTTTATTGGTTAACAATTTTTTAGAAATTAATTTCAAATTTTCGTTTATAATTAATAAGAGAGAGAAAATTAGTTTATTTTTTTGGAAATTAATAATTATTTAAAAGAATTAAACTATTTTTTATTTAAATATATTAATTTTGTGATTACTATTGTACCCTTAATGAAGTTATTTAAAAATACTAAAAATCAATGGCATTTTTTGTAATATTTTACTCTTTATAAGGTTATTTAATATTTAGTGATTCCCAATTAATAATATAGATTGTCTAGGGAAACCGTCATCTGTAATTTTACATTTTTAAGTTAGAAATTTTCCAAATAAAAATATATTCGCTGCATAATAATATTGAAATCTATGCTTTACATTTTTCTTATTTCTATATTTTGTTATTTCAAAAGTTCACATTTTTTTTCTTTCCATATATTTTTTTTCCTTTTTATTAATATTTAATTATAGAAAATCTTAGAATTTAAAAAGGTTAATTAACATGGTATATAAAAATGTTAACCGACGAAGTGGCTATTCGCGGTTGGTCGTTTTAAATCCCACGTGGACAGCTTTAGAAGCTTATAGCTTATTTCAAAAATTCACATTTTTCTTCTTTCCATATATTGTTTGTTTTTTTTTAAATTAATATTTAAGTATAGAAAATATTAGAATTTAAAAATGTTAAGTGTGTAAAAATGTAAACTGATGAAGTGTCTAATCCCGATTGGTCGTTTAAAATCCCACGTGGACGGCCTCAGGAGCTTATAGCCTCGACTTTTATATGCTAACATTCTCCTTCGTCTTCATATATGTTAGCAACTGTTTTGAGAAGCATTGATTAATGTTCGTTGCATCACCATAACTACTTATCCTTTTCTCAATGCTTGGGATACATATCATCAAAACCACATTGTTTTCTAGGGGTTGATCTTATCGACATTCAATCTCTTGAGCTTTTTTAGCAGATTAGGCCATTGTTGCTTTTGCTTGTAGTAACAGGTATCAATTTGTCACAGACTGTTCAACCTCCAGAAGGTACTTGCTTCTAGAAAACAAAAATCGTAACGTAAAAAATCAAAGCCGCATAATAGTAAATTCGTTTGAAACTAAATACTAAATTACTAATTGTGTGGTCGAGGTTCAGTATTTATAGTTTAATGTCTAGGGTAAACCGTCATAATTACCTTCTGTAATTTTACATTTTTTAATTTTTTTGTAATTTTCTATAAAATATCTTTGAATGATTAACATATGGATGATTTAACATTTTATTTTTTTGGGAATTTAACATATATTGTTTCCGTTTTTTAAGTCAAGAAAATTTCCATTAGAGAATTGAAGTGTTATTGACATGGTGTTAAGAATTCACCATAGCTTGACTTTTTTGTTTCCGTTTTTATTAGTAAGATTTTAATGGTGTTAATTGTTAATTGTTAATTTTTAATGTGATGTATAAAAATGTTAACAGAATAAGTGTCTAATCCCGATTGGTGGTTTTAAATAATTCTTTTATTAGTATTATTTTAATAAAAGATTATAAATATGTTAATTAGTGAGATGGCAAACCCCGATTGGTGGTTTAAAATCCTAGGTGGACGGCCTTAGAATGTTAATTAGCAAAGATTATAATTATGAGAGCTAGCATGAGCACTTTGAACTTCAATATTAGGCAATTTCATTAAGGGTATGCAAAAGGGTTATTAATTGTGTTGCCTATTTTGGCGATGATTTTTCTTTTGAGTTTTTGGCAGATATCGATTTTTCTTTTTTTTCTTTTTATTAAATTACCTTTAGAATTTATGTTAAACATCGACGTGGACCAATAACATCGCGTTTTTAAAATTCCATGTGGACGGTCTCAAAAGCTTTTAAAATCCAATTGGTCCCATAAAACGCTTTTGGGTTTTTCTTTTTATATAGGGGGTTTGATCGTTCTTATTCTTCCTTGTTTTTCTTAGATTTTCTCTAGGACTTATTATTTTCTGTTTTTTAATATTCATCTATGTACAATATACTTATAAGATTAAATAGAGATTCAAAACTATTATGCGACCAATTGCCTTTATTTTAAAAGAACATATTTTTTTATTCTTTAATATTAAATAATTTTTTAGTTTACTATCTGGAAAATATGAAT